ATTTTGTCTGGATGATTAAAAAAAAAGTAAAGAGCCCTATTTGGATAATGTTATAATATACAGAACATATTTCCCCATTTTTGCAAATAATGGCAAGAAGCTCTTTCTGGTCAACTGTATTTGTTAATCTAGAAATATTACATTTTAACTGTTTATAGGCTTATGACCTTACAACCTACAATTTCGACCTACAGCCACAATTGAGCCCAACATTTCTGTTGCTAAATGAAGCAGTTGTTGAGTGAGTCTTGCCCCATTTTATTATCTTTCTTGCCACAATTGTTAAGTGAGTAACATGGTTGTTACATGATTCTGGCTTCCCCATTGACTTTAGTACAAAATAGAATAACAGAGCTGGAAGGAACCTTGGAGGTCTTCTAGTCCAACTCCCTGCTCAGGCAGGAAATCCTGTACCATTTTAGACAAATAGTTGTCCAATCTCTTCTTAAAAACTTCCAGTGTTGGACGATTCACAACCTCTGGAGTCAGGTTGTTCCACTGATCAATTGTTTTAGCTGTCAGGAAATTTCTCCTTAGTTCTAGGTTGCTTTTCTCCTTGATTAGTTTCCATCCATTGCTTCTTGTCCTGCCTTCAGGTGCTTTGGAGAATAGCTTGATTCCCTCTTTTGTGTGGCAGCACCTGAGATATTGGAACACTGCTATCATGTTACCCGTAGTCCTTCTTTTCATTAAACTAGACATATCCCATTCCAGCAAACAATTTTATATGTTTTAGCCTCCAGTCCTGTAATCATTTTTGTTGCTCTTCTCTGCACTCTTTCTAGAGTCTCAACATCTTTTTACATTGTGGCGACCAAAACTGGATGCAGTATTGCAAGTGTGGCCTTACCAAGGCATTGTAAAGTGGTTTTAATACTTCACGTTATCTTGATTCTATCACTCTGTTAATGCAGCCCAGCACTGAGTTGGCTTTTTTGGCAGCTGCAGCACACTGCTGGCTCATATTTAAGTGATTGTCCACTAGGACTCTTGGAATCCTGCTGCACAGTTATGTGATTTATCACTATTAGGGTCTTTGATAAAGTCAATATTTGGAATGAAGCCATGGATCCACTTTTTTGTAATAGGTGAGCCAACTATAGATACCAGGGTATATTTGGAATGAAGCCATGGATCCACTTTTTTGTAATAGGTGAGCCAACTATAGATACCAGGGTATTTTTCACAAATTTCAAAGCCATATATGTGTATTAATTCCAAATTAATCTTGTAATTTTCTCTGTTTCCCCCAAGTAATTAGCTCACTGCTTTTCTTTCCTGAGGGAATGGGATGGAAATTCCCCTTCCCTCTCTCATTGGGAAGGTACTTTGGGCAGCTTTTTTCCAGGAAGAGGTCTTAGAGTCATAAAGAGAAGATAGAGTCTCACCCAGTTTCATCCACATTACTGAAAGGTTGCTTGTTAGTGCTTATTGTCTTCCATTGTCAGCAGCTTCTGACTGGCTACACAAATGTAGCCAATCTTTCTCCCACTGGTTTGGAGATCTTCCTCAGGTCAAATGGAAGGGCTGCCACCCTCCCACAATCAATGAGGGTACCGTCTTTGCTTGTCACCTCTTTGGGGTGACTTTCGACTCTTTCCAGGGTTTCCAGCAGGAAGAACTCGAACTTGAACAATGGAGCATCATCTTCCTGCACCTGTTTCACCATGACATCAAAACCAGAAGCCACAACTGTCATGTATTTATGATGGTTGCAGTACCCCAAAGTCATGGGATCACCATTTGCAACATTCCCAAGCAAAATCAATGGGAGAGATTGGATTTGCTTAATGACTGCATGATTCATTTCACAACTGCAGAGATTCAGGCATGGTTCACTTAACAATGGTCTTGCTCAGCATTGGTCATTCTGGTCCCAGGTTATGGACCAATAAGTCATAAATTGAGGATTACCTGTAGTTTCTCTTAGATTTGAAGCATTTTTATTTTAAGGCCACAAACCTGATTAAAAGTTATATTCTTCCAATATAAGCAGGACGTACAATTGCTTTCTGGCTGATTATTTCTTATGAACTTAATTTCCATTAAAACAAGACAAAATTAAACAAAACGAAATCTGATCTTTTTAAAGATACATATATACATACCTTTACAATAAAGTACTAAAATATTATTAATACTTATTATACCGATTTGTTCTTTTCCATGAAAATTGAATTCAAAAGCTGACACAGTGGAGGTTTTGTATTTTGGAATCTGAGCTATAATTTCAGTTGGGCACATCTTACAAGTTTTAAAATAAAGTTTGAATAAATCGATGGAAGTTCCCCATTTTAGGGGGTAAAATATGGAACACATCTTTGCAATATGGTTTGGGTCATTTCCACCTCTTTCTTCACTCTGATATAACTTCTCTGGCATACTGGAATAGTCTTTACATTCATGCTAGCCTAGACAAATATAACATAATGGTTTCCACCATTATGTTATATTTGTCTAGGCTAGTATGCACATAAAGATTTCAGAGATAGGCATTTGGCTTTAAACGTTTGTTGAGAAACACGGTTTCATTTTTAGAAAAGAAAAAGACTAAAAGAAAGAAAAACATGTTGGAATCTATCTTTGTTAAGATTTAATTCCTTCCCCTGCCAGGCACATATATTTCATTACATAGATGAGCCTTTCCCAGCCTGATGCCCACCAGATGTGTTGGAAATTGAATCCTGTTGTTCCAACCCCATAACTAATCACCTTTCTGGCAGAGAATGATGGAAACAGCCATGCTGGCTGGAAATGGTGGAAGTTTGCAAATACCCTCCAGTGAATCTGGACAGTATTATGTTAGGGAAGGCTAAGAATATTCTATACATAGAAATGCTATGCAGTTCCAAGTGGATCACAAAAACAATTACTTTTAGGATGTAATATGTACCAGTGGTGGAGAACTTTATATATGTAATTTCCTAGTACATCCCACTGATTTTCTAATGTGATTCAAAAAGAAATATCAGATTAATATCATATGTAGAAAGTCCCGGAAATAGTCCACCAAAGTTCAGAAAGTTTTAGAAGACAAGTGATGGGAATAGTTTTGTCTGAATTGTTGGTGTGTTTCATAATCCTGTAGTAGATTATTGTAATAACAGACTAACAGAGTTGGAAGGAATCCTGGTGGTCTTCTAGTCCAACCCCCTGCACATCAGAAACCCTGTACCATTCCAAACAAATGGCTGTCCAATGTCTTCTTAAAAACACATAACTTTTGGAGGCAGGTTGTTCCACTGATTAATTGTTCTAAATGTCAGGAAATTTTTCCTTAGTTCTAACTTGCTTCTCTCCTTGATTAGTTTCTATCCATAGCTTCTTGTCCTGTCTTCAGGTGCTTTGGAGAATAGGTTGATTCCCCTCTTCTTTGTGGCAGCCACTCCTTAGGTTGAGAATGGATTAATGCCCTCTTCTTTATGGCAGCCACTCCTTTTCTTTGTAGCAGCCCCTAATTACCTATTTGAATTTAGAATATACCTAAGAATAGAAAACCTTTGCATTAGCAATTGCCACGTTGTTTGTAAATTTTGACATTCCTATAAATATGGGTGAAAATACACTTCTACACCCATTAAACCATCTAGCTGGCTCCATTTGTAGAAACAAAATTGAAATGTGTATCTTTGTCTTGAATACCTCAATATTTTTCTATGTTAAAAAACAAGTCCAACACCCTTTTGTCTTTTTCAGCAGGATAAATGAACTCCTGTAATGAAGTACATGTGTTACCTGTATTACCAATCATACTATAGCTGACTAGGAAATTTTGAAAGTTGAAGATCACACATTTTAAAGTCGTTATCTATGTGTCTATCAAAAATATATGCCACTGACTACCAATGATTTTGGGAGACTCCTACAAGAAAAGATTTTTTAAAAAACAAATGCAGTAAGAAACAAAAATAAGAAAAATAAAGATTGCAAAGATGACAGAAACTGAATGGAATTTGCATCATGATATTTCTTCACTTGCCTCCCTCTTGAGAATGTCTATGAAAGCCACCAGGCATTGCATTGTTTTCAAAGCAAGATAGAGATATTCTAAGAAAATAAATCATGAATAGTGGAGATCTGAATCAATTTAGAGAGTTGATAACCTGCTGTAGTGAAACGAGAGAGAGAGAGAGAGAGAGAGAGAGAGAGAGAGAGAGAGAGAGAGAGAGAGAGAGAGAGAGAGAGAGAGAGAGAAGGGAGGGGGGAAAGAAGAGGTGACTCTCTTCTTCTTCACAGTATAACAAGTTTAGTGATTTTTCTGACATTACTTGATAACCAGTAGTATCATTTTTCAATGTGAGTTTGTGGTGCCTCTCTTCCAGAGGAATGCTATGGCAAGTCTTATGACTCATTTCTTGTGGAAACCCAGTGCAGTTTTTGACAGATAACATTGAATTTAGATTCACTGATATAGATATCTGTTAAAATTCTAGTCTTTCCCTTGTCTCAGCCTAAATAAAAGAGAGTTATATTTTTCTACTGGCTAATAACATTTGTTGACAGGAAAGGGAAACAAAACCTGATGAATCCATTGGACTCTGAAAATAAGGAAACAACTTTTGCTATCATTGTACTTCTGGGACGTTGTGAATCACCAGTGGAAGCAACACATTTTACGCTGGTATAGTTTTCTACTAGCTCCTTTTAATATGTCTGTGAGCAAGAACTCTAGGTTTTGAGCCATCACTATGTCACACCCTTCTTTTACACTAAAGAATACTAACTTCAATATCATCATTTTTTATTTCACTGGAAGTCCCTCTTTGGGACTTCATAAAATCCGCCCAAATGTTCTGGCTCTGAAGAATATTTTCTCCCATCTAAAGTTAAACTTTAACACCTTTTCCAATATGCTCACACAAACACAGAGAGAGATGTGGGGGACGTCTGCTTGCACATATGTGAGAAAGGCATATAACAACATTATGTTCATGCCAAGAGCCTGGAAAACATCTAGCTCTTGGCTTGTTCGTGTTTCCCCTCTTCTCTCCAATTTTTCATTCCCTGCCTTGCTTTTCTATAACACATTCTTGCCCCCCTTCCCCTCCCAACTTTTCTTTAGGCTATAAATCCAGGATTTACACATCATGTCTGTTCCTTGGCTTGGGGTATGTTAGTGGGCAGGAGCAGTGTGGGTGGGAGGTGTACAGCTAAAGGCCTGCAAAGGAGACTGAAAGAAGCAGCTTCAAAAGAAAACAGAAAGTTCTATACACAAAGCAACAGAAGTGTCAGCTCAGGAATCACAGAACAACATGAAGGTAAGTCAATGAAGAATCTGAAGTTTGGGGGCAACAGATAGTTTTGGAAGGGAGGTGAATTAGGCTGTGAATTAAGGTTTGATTTTTTTTTTCCCATTTGACTTTGGTATTCTCTCCTCACTCCCAATCAAATTAATTTGTGTAATGGTCTATTTCAATGTCATATGTGATGAATGGAATTTGCAGTTAGAAGAAATGGTGAAAGCCAGCTTCAGTAACTTTTAGGTATGATGGCTGAATGTGAGAACTGAGACCCAGAATGGTGGAGGGATTAAGGTGTTGGACTAAGATTAGGACTTGACAGATTCATATTTACTTTGTCTCTAGGTAGAATCAGCCATTAAATCTCACTGGGTAACTTTTGGCCAGTCCCTTTCTTTGGGCCCAGCCTATTTCATTAGGTTTTAGCTGTGAGGATTAAATGAAGGAAGATCTCTCTATGTATTCCTGGAGTAAAGACAGGATATAAAATTAATACATTGTAAAGATATCCTCCCAATACAGATGTATAATAGATGTGACAAACATTTTGCCAAGACATTCCTGAAGGATTCTATTTAGCCATTATAGGGAAGAAAAATGCTAAACGAAACAGACCTTTCTTTTGATATGTTTGGATTTCCTTGTCTTCTTAAATCCTGACATTAAGCTGATTCCTTAAACAAAGGGGATGTTTACTTTCTCTCTCTGTAATACTATTAAGGGATTGCTTTCCAAAGACATATTGAATCATGGACTGCTTAGCTACTCTATTTTTGTTCTGTAACAAAAGAGAGAAATGGTTTCCCTTCATATCCAAGATAGTGAAATTACAAGGACTAATTGATCAGGGTAAATCTTCTCAATATCTAATTAGTACCTAATATGATTCTATGAAATGAATCATTTCATACAAAACACTTTGCAAAATTAATGGGGAGAAGAGGAGAGGAAAATTGCCCTGATTCCCTATAAATGAAAAGAGATATGGGAATATTAATTTTCACAGAACAAAATGATTAATGAGAAATGGACAGAATGAGAAGCTGCAGGTTATTTTAAAAAATGAACGTGAACCAATATGACTGTATGAACTATAGAATGGAAATATCTTTTTTCAGACTTTTGTAATCAAAGCTGCAATTGAGTCAGATGTGCTCCTTCTGATCTCTGGAGTGTCTTGACCATGTAATTTCATATATATAGAATATCTAGAATACTGACTGTTGATTGCATGAAGAAAGCTTGCTGGCCCATATTTTGCATGAAGGTACCTCTGCATAGTTTCATCAGGAATGGAGACTATCATCCCAGTTTCCATTCCACATATCAATTTAGATTCAAGTAGAATACTGTTTATTGTAGAGAGCTTTTCTGTATTCATGCCAGAATCAAACTTAAGGTTATCTACTTGTTATACTTCATAGTCTGACATGTGACCCCCTAAATATAAACTGGTTGGAGGGACATGATGTGGAGACAGAAATAACTTCTTCAATGTTTCATATGCATTGCTCTTTGCTTGCTTGCAAATCTTATTGAAGATATTCTAGAGATGAGCTATGATTTCATCCTAATTTCTTTAAGGGCTTGACTACAATCTTAAATACATTAATGAGAGAATGAGCAACACTATACAACAGTGTTACTTAATGTTGGCAACTTAAAGATGTGTGGACTTCAATTGGCTGGGGAATTCTGAGAATTGAAGTCCATACATCTTCAAATTGCTAAGGCTGAGAAACACTGCTATACAAGTAGTCCTTGACTTACAGCAGTTCATTTAATGACCATTTGAAGTTACAACAGCATTGAAAAAAGTGACTTATGAGCATTTTTTACACTTATGACTGTTGCAGCATCCCCATGATCACATGATTTACATTTGGATGCTTGACAACTGACTCACATTTATGACTGTTGCAGTGTCCGGGGGTCACATGATCAACTTTTGCAACTTTCTGACAAGCAAAGTCAATGGGGAAACCATATTCACTTAACTACCATTTTACTAATTTAACAACTGCAGTGATTCACTTAACAAACATGGCACGAAAAGTCGTAAAATGGGACAAAGCTCACTTAACAAATTTCTCACCTAGTAACATAAATTTGGAGCTCAATTATGGTCATACATTGAGGATTACCTGTACACTGTAGTTCAGAGCTTCAAATAGAAGAATACATGCAGCTTAACTATATGTAATTTTCCATTCTAATCCCCATATCTTCTTCATTGGTTCTTCATTCAGCAAGAGTACAGTGTATATTCCCAGAAAAGCAGATAGATACCTATTTTGTTCTACAAGTAGGATGCAAATTCACAAACTTTAAAACAAAACAGACAATAATAACAACAACAGCAAACCAGACTATAGTATATAAATATTTTATTTAAAAAGTAAGTAACTGGGACATGAATACATTCAACAAATTGGCAAATCTGATTAAAATGTTCTGTGATGCATTTTTCTCTTCGATGTCAGGCCATAGGCCAAAATAAAATTCTGAGGCCAAGAAAAACAACAGAGTGCACAAAAGTTTCTACCTAAACCACCTAACCTGTGAATTGTTGAAAGATTGTCAAAGAGAATATGAATAATGGTAGATGAACTTTGGAGTTTTCCTTCTAAATTCTCCCACTTTTGGAACTAACAAATATTAATTAGTGTTGGACTAATTAATTGGACTAATAGAAAAGCATCTATTTGAATCTTAATATTTAGGGTTTCTTGTGACCTGAACATTAGACCCATCATCATGAGGTAATGTCTCCAAATCAAGTTCTCTAGCAATATCCATGTTTCTTGCTGTTTGCCTCACAATGACAAAAGCCACATTCCAGCACCATATTGCAAGATCTTCCCCTTTGGAGCAGGCATGCAAGATTGCAACACACTTACAAAAGGGGCAGGGTTTGTATTGCACCACAACAAGGCCACTTTCATCAACCTGATTCCTTTTGTTCCTTCTACAGGCACTGCTGTGACTAATAAATAAATAGGCAACTTTTCAAGCTTCAACTGCCAGGGTTATATTGTGATATATTTCCATCTCTGATTAATATTTTTCTATATTCAACCAATTAATCCATTTTTCTCTCTCACACTCTCTCTCTTTTTACATTGCCATAAAACTTTGAGCACTAGAGCTCATATTATCACTAACAAAGAAGTTTGTTGGGTCTTCAGCAAGCTTCTGAACCCAAGAAAATGTTCATTCACATTTTTCATTTGAGACAGCAAAATCTGATTTTTATCTTTTGCCACGGTAATATTTAATGTGAAAATGACCAAAAGGAAGAGTTCAACATAAATAAGTCCTGGGCAAGTTAAGCACACATTTCAGATTTCTGTTTTTATTTTTCTTGGTAGATAATGCCAATTATATTAGGACAGTGTCTTTCCCAGTCAATAAAACTGGGAATTAGGCAGTATATACTGTATATTACAATTAGGCTGGTCACACAGTCAGACAGATGTTTAGACTAGATTTGGCATTTTTGTCCATCCAACAAGTCCTTTCCAAGGACCTGAGATAGGCAGATATTGTTGTTTAATAATAATATATTGTCACAAGTTGTAAATTGCTCCAAGTAAAGCTGCCTTCTGCAATTTACTGATGGTGATTTTGTCAATGCTGATAGTGTTCAAGTAGTGTTCTAAATGTTTTGGAATTGCATCCAAGTTGGTGTCTGTAATATCTTTGCTTTCCTTTGTCACATTATTTCTACTTCTATTTACAGATCTTTATAAAACAATGACAATTATATTATTGTTAATAATAAGGTGCCTCTTTCCTCAGTATGTACCTTGGATGACAAGACATGCTTTTTCATTTTAGCTTTCTCAGGCCTCCTCATTTCTGCCCATCTCTATGTTCCTCCTTTTACTTCTTCAGCTGCCAACATTGCAAGGACAGGCCATCAACTCAGGTAAGTGCTCTTGAGGCTGATTTATGGCACATGCTCAGAATCCTCTATATGCTCTTTCCACATTATGTCGACTGAAAAAAGACAGTAATACCAGCTTTAGATGAAGTAATTTTAGCCATTTTTAGGTTGGACAAGAAAGAATTCTTATTTAAGACTATGAAAATCTGCTTGTCAATATAGATCAGGGTTTTTTAACCTTTTCACCCATTGTACCATTTTTAGGATATGGCAATATCCGAGTATTACCAGTCGCCTAGCAAGGTGTCAAAAACTTGATGACCCAAAAAAAGGAAAAAAATGATAAAGTACAGGTAGTCCTCAACTTACAACAGTTCACTTAGTGACTGTTCAAAGTTACAATGGCACTGAAAAAAGTGACCCCCAAGCCACAGCTGAGTAAGACACCTGCCTGCCCACCCAGTGGTGCTCTTCCTCCTGTCTGAGGTTTCCATTGTTGTGAGCTTTTCTGTTGAGGATTGGCAGCGGGGGGGGGGGTGTGAGAGTGTGTTTGGTTTTTATTCCCCCCATCTGCTGGGCGGTTGCAACAGGGTTTGGTCACTTCACATGATCCTGGGACACTGTGACCATCATAAATATGAATCAGTTGTCAAGCATCTGAATGTAAATCACAAAACCCTGGAGATGCTGCAACATTCCAGCTGATCAACACTTCCTCTGGGCTCAGCAGAAGCACCAGGATCAGCACCGAGCTCCAGCTGGAGCCTGGCACTGATCCTGGTGCTTCCGCTGAGCCCTGGCAGCTCTGCACCTCCAGCCGTCTCTCGCTCAGGCTTGTGTGGTGCTGCCATCGGTTCAGCTCATTCCCCTCCCCCGCTACCACTTTTCTAGGATGTTTGCATACAACCTGCCAGGTGCCAATGTACCACAGGTGGTACCTGTACCACTGGTTGAAAAGCCCTGATATAGATGATACAGAACTTGTTATGACTCAGGGGCATAGAATTCTTTAAACTCTAAAACCTCTCAGATGTCTCTCCCCATTCTAACTTTTTTTTGTGCCTTCAAGTCAATCTATACTACTGACTGATTGGAAAGTTCCTTCAGTTCTCTTGGCAAAGTTTCAGAAGTGGTTTACCATTGTCTACTTTCTAGGGCTGAGAGAAAATGACTGGCCCAGGGTCAATCTGGCTTTGTCCATAAGGTAGACTAGAACTCACAGTCTCCTGGATTTTAGCCTGATGCTTCAACCACCATACCAAACTGGGTCTCCATTCCAACTTGATTCATCAGTTAAAGACTTCAGGGTTTCATGTGTTCCAGTGCTTGTGGTTTCCCTGACAAGCTTCTGCTAGGGAGAAAAGGCAACAGCTTAGAATGCTCTCCTGGGAGTGCAGTACTGCCAGAAAATTGTGCCAGTACTTGGGTTATTGGATGGAGTCTACGATAATTCACCACGGCCAACTTGCTAAGGCGAATTCACCACAGCCAACTTGCCACAGGCAACTTGGTGCAGGCAACTCACCATGAAATAATTCACTGCGGGACAAGAGTTACACAAATATCAAAGAAATGGTGGGATGGAATCATTAAAAAAGAATGCAAAAGGAAGGACAGGGTGAAATATGAATGACAAAAATTACAACAACTTTTTTATTTATTTCAAATAATTAAATCGAATTGTTAAATTGCCCTGCAACAAGTTGTCCCGCAGCGAGTTGGTCATGGTGAATTGTCCCCTTCTGTATTAGAAGTGGGTTGAAAAAATCCTGATGATTCCTAGATAGCACCAACAATATAGAAACTTCTCTATCTCTTTCCTGCCACTTAGTGACTGACTTAGGAGTACATGTTATGTTTATGCATTGTCTGTCAGGAAACCCTCAGCCATTATATTACTCCCAGAAAATGATTATTTATGGTTGCATATCAGCTCTACAACAGATCACAACCAACTTTGTTTTCTAAAGATTATAGGTTCAATTAAGGGTTCTTAGAACTATGGCCATTTACCCAGTCTGAAGTGTATTAATGTCATTGGCATGACTCAGTATAAAGCACCTTCCTCTACTATTAAATAGACCACTTGTGCTAAAAAGTAAAGAAACTCTCAAGTCAAGCTTAACTCTTGATGATTCTGACTGTGAAGCTTTTTTGGCAACTTTATGAAAGTTTGCCATTGTTTTGTGGTTTCTTTGATTTCCTAATCTAGCTAACAAGCATGGCATTCCATAATTCTCCGGATCCAAATACTAATCAGGGCTGACCCTACATGACTTCTGAGATCAGCCAAGTCCATTTGTTAAAACATTTCCAGACAGATAAACTTTTACTGCCAGAACTGCTCTTTGCATACATTTTTTTTTTAATTTGGGCCAGCACTAGTCTGCCGAGCAGACTGAGCCATTTTTTAACAATAAATGAAGAATATCAAAACATAGTCCACTTTCAGGCAAGCACAAAAGACACAAACAAGCATTTAAATTATCTTTTCAGCTTCTGAACAGCTGTTTGCAATCAAATTGGACAGAAAAATACACTGCTTCCAGTTAGCCAGAAAGTCTCCTCTTGGGAGGTCATTTGTGGCTTACGGCTTGCCTGACCTGGCTTACATTACAGAATCTTTTGCCTTTTTAATCATAGGATCTTTTCACTATAGTTAAATACAGTGTTCTGGAATATCCAAAATAGAAATAGCACGTAGACTTATATACCACTTCACAGTGATTTGCAGCCCTCTCTAAGTGGTTTACAGAATCAGTATATTGCCCCCAACAACCTGGGTCCTCATTTTACCGACCTCAGAAGGATGGAAGGCTGAGTCAACCTTGAGCTGGTCAGTACTGAACTGCTGGCATTCAGCAGAATTAACCTCCAGTACTGCATTCTAACCACTGTACCACTATGGCTATATCCAATAATTATGCTTCTTGGATAGGATGTTTCTTTATTTTTACAATGCAGTATAGGGAATCTTGAAATACACAAGAAGTGTCAGGTCTGTTGTCCATCTAGTCCAGAAATGGCTACTTTGAGAGCAATGTTCTAAGTTTCCAAGAGGAGAATTTGCTGATCATATTCTGCCTATTAACTGGAGAAATGTTGAAGTGTTGAAAAGAGGACCTTTCTTACATGCAATCCAAATATTAATTGATTAAGCTGTGATTCTCCTATTCCCTTACTTCCATATTAATCCTTTGCACAGTTTACTTTATATGTAACAATATAAGTATCCTATCTTTGCATCTGACTGATTCCTAATTAATAGTACAGAACAATGTTAATTCACCAACTGAACAATTATTTCAAAAGAAACACACAAACACACAATGGGTTGGGAAAAGTTAATAGAAAAAAAAACACAAATAAAGCCAGTACTATGAAGAGATTTAATCCATGTACTTGCATTTATCTTAAAGTCTTTTGAAAGATCCTGTTTCTGACTGATGAGTGAGCACTAATTATGAAGTTAGAGAGGCTTTCTTGAAGAGGACATTGGAGTAGCTAGTACCATAATAGAAATAGCCCCCTTGCTGTTTACTGCTTTCATACCTCAGATGGTGAAGGGGCCCTAAACATTAATCTGGTTGCTCAGATGCACTAATTTGCAAGAACTAAAAAAACCCATCCCTGATATAATGTTGTCAGCTTTATCAGGCGGACCAGACAAGAAACAAGACTGGATAAACTAATACCACTCTAGTGTAAAGCTACATTAGTGTGAAAATACAATTCTCTTGCCATCTCCTTTACAGCATGATAATTTAGGGAAAGTCCCTCCTCAGTCTCTTGCCCTTCCTATTATGGAGCTGTAGGCTATGCTGTCTCTTATCTGACCATTCACCTGGCTTCCTAAGATAATTCCCACATGCCATTATAAAGGAGAGTGCCAGCCTTGAGCTTTGGTCTTATCCTTAGCACAGAAGATGCATTGAAAATCTCTGTTCGTTATCATCCATACTCACAACATCAGCAATCTGTTGTAATCTGTTGGGATAATAAAACAGAGTTTCGTATTCCATATATATTATTGGAAGAAGAATAGAATTTCAGTGAAGTAGGCAACATATAGCCTTTGCGGCATTTTATCACACTCCTCCCTTGGTAACAAAATATTATAGGATTACTACTGACTACTGCTCTTTCAGGATATTGCCAACCACTGTTTTCTTCTTTCTCAATAATAATCCTGCTAGTAAAATTCTGTCATTTTTCTTGTGAGGCTCAAGCAATGTCAAATGATTCTACTATAATGGACAGAATATTTCATAGAACATAGAATAATGGGGTTGAAAGGGCCCTTGAGGGCTTCAAGTCCAACCCCTTGCTTAAGTAGGAGACTTTATATCAGTGGTTCTCAACCTTTCTAATGCCACGACCCCATAATACAGTTCCCTATGTTGTGGTGACCCCCAACCACTTATACATCACCGGGTGCCAGGGCTGTGGCCAAAGAAAAGGGGGAAAAAATGGCGGACAGCCTTGTTTGGCGACCCCCGTGAAATGGTCATTCGACCCCAAATGGGGTCCCGACCCACAGGTTGAGAACCACTGCTCTATATCATTCTGGACAAATGGTTGTTCAGTCTCTTCTTGAAAACTTTCAGTGTGGAGCACCCGCAACTTCCAGAGATAAGTCATTCCACTAATTAACTGTTCTCACTTCAGGAAATTTCTTCTTAATTCTAGATAACTAAGGGGATAACAGATGATTTTCCATCTGTTAGCTGATATATTTTTCCTCCACATATATTGTTTAAACTGTACTGGAAGAATAAACAAATAGCTTCCCATGTATGGAAGAATTTCTAGAAAAGTCTTAGTTGATGGCAGTTACTACAGTATAAAGATCACTGTTTGCTATCCCTGCGCAGAATCAATAGTGTCTTTTGACAGAGATAATAACTAAAACAATTCCTTAATAGGACTCTTGGCTAGAAGTTTCTTGATTATATGAATTCTGAGGGCATTTCATGCTTGATGACTATTTAGTTACTACTTACACGCACATATGCACAATCCCCACAACCTATAACAGAGAT